AAAAAGTAAAAAAAAAAAAAGAAAGAAAGCATAGATACCAGAGACAATGTGGGGGGAGAGTGGGAGATGGCAGAGGGTAAGAGATAGGGAATCAAGGATGAGGGAAAAAAAAAAAAAGAAAAACATTAGGAAATAAGAAATGGAAAATTATTTGTTGATGATAACATGTATGCTGATGTGCTTGATTGAACCAATAAACAGTGTAATCTGGATGGAGAATCTCATTTTGCATGTTGTAATGATGTACAGTGAATGAATGTAAATAAATAAATAAATTTTAAAAAAAAAAGAAGAAGAAATAGAAGTTATAAATAAGCAAATAATCTCGAGAGACAGAGACAGAAAGCGAGAAATCATCGCCCCCAGAGGGATGGCCACACCACAAGCCCTCCTCCATTCTCCTCTCAGGATCTTAGGCACACACACATGCACCCAGCATGAGTTTAAGCCACCAGGTCCGGGACTCGAATCATGGTCGACTACATGGGAGTCCAGCAACATAGCCATTACGCTAACTGCTGGTCGCAGTCGTCAAAAATTTCTACCCCTAAAATAAAAGGCCAAGATAATTACCAAGTCTTTGAGAAAAAAAACTTTTTTTATTTAATTTTTAAACCTCTCAAAGAGTAGAAAAAGAAGAAAGATTATCTTGGCTACAAAAGCTGGCCTGGACAATGTTAGAAAATAGGAGAATAGAATAATTTCACTCACAAACAGAAATGCAAAATTGCCACAGAAACTATTAGGAAATAAATGTTAGGAGTCTATAATAAATAATACATCACAACCAAGTATTTTTTCTGAAGGATGAAGCAATATTTAACATCAGAGTTCATCAGTATTTTCTACTTAAATAACACATGAAAAAGAGTAAATCATTCTAATAGATGCAGAAAAAATATTTATCAGTGTAAACCGAAGACTATTTATGCTGAATTATTTTTTGAAAAAGTAGAAATATCCAAGAACGTTTTTTTTTTTTTTTTAAGTTTGCTATAGAGCACATGCACTCATTGGAGAGAGGGAGAGAGACCAGGAGAGAGGAAAAGTGGGAAATCCCCCCCTGGGGGTGACCATGCCGCAATCCCTTCTCCTCCACCCTCCTCGTGGGATCTTGGCCACGCATGCACATGCATCTGGTGTGATTTTCAAGTAGCCAGGGGCCAGGACTTGACTGGCGAAGCTGGTCATGTGAGATCCAGCAGCCTTAACCTCCTGGCCCCAAGAACATTTTTTACTTGCTAAAACAAATTTACTAAAAACTCATAAACATCATAATCAATAGTGAAAATTTATAAGCATTGTCTTTAAAGTCAGGAAAATTACCCAACACTTAGAAACAGGCAAGAAGACACTTCTTCTCTCATTTACTGTCTCTCTCTGATGAGAGCATGCACCTTCTGGTGCAATTTTTTAAAAGAAGTATATGATAGGGACCAGCAGATGGTGTAATGGTTATGTCACTGGACTCCCAAGTTGCTGACTGTGGTTCAAGTCCCAGACCTGGCAATTTAAAACTCGTGCTAGGTGCATGTGTGTGCGTGCCCAAAATTCCGAGAAGAGAATGGAGAAGAATAGATTGTGGCATGGCCATCCTCCCTGGGGGATGATTTCCCACTCTCTGTCTCTTTGTCTCTGTCTCTCTGGCAAGTACA